GGATCTTGGACACACACGCACACGCGCCTGGCATGAGTTTTAAGCCACTGGGTCTGGGACATGAACCGCGGTCGACTACATGGGAGTCCAGTGACATAGCCATTACACTAACTACTGGTCCCGGGAAACCTCATTTTGTATGCTGTAATGATATATAGTGAATGAATGTAAATAAATTTAAATTTTAAAAAAATTCACACCAGGCACATGTCCGTGCATGCCCAGAATCCAGAGAGGAGAATGGAGGAGAAGGGATTGCAGCATGGCCATCCCTCCAGGGGATGATTCTCGCTTTCTGTCCCTCTGTCTCTCTCTGTTTCTCTGGCAGGCACATGCACGCTATAGCAAAAATCTCTCTCAAAAAAACAAACAAACAAAAACAAACAAAAAAAACGAACAAACAAAAAACTCACACTGGGCATGTGTGCATGAGATCCCAAGATCCGAAGAGGAGAATGGAGAAGGACTTGTGGAGTGACCATCACCCCAGCGTGGTGATTTCTTGCTTTCTCTCTGTCTCTCTGGTGAGTGCACACACCCTATAGGAAAAAAATACCAAAGTCTGTTTAATTCCATGAATCTGTTCCTTAAGCCTTTTTTTCTTTTGAACCAGTTTGAGTTCCATAAAGTTATGCTTCTGATACTGCACATTCAGCTTCTTTAGTGCTATATGTGCAGTCTGATTCAGACTGTTACATAAAGGAATCTACATCTTCCACAAACACTACCTCAGGAATTCCCAGGTGCAGCTAATGCCCATTCACTGTGGCCACTTGTCCAATGCCACAACCCTCCTTAGCTGACTCTATCTTGGGAAAACACACTATCATCTTCTTAACTGAGGCCCTCATTGTCTCTCTCCTAACTGACTAGTGTCTCTGTCTTTCTGCATGTTATTATAGAGAAGCAGCCAGAAGTGAAAAATCTGATCTTATCATGTTAGCTTTAAAATCCTTCAGTTTTACCTCAAGATAAAAATGTAAAATGCATCATCTATTCTCTGCTGTCTTTTTCTTTTCTTTTCTTTCTTTCTTTCTTTTTTTTTTTTTTTTGTGTGAGAGAGAGATTTTTGTTACAGGGCTCATGTGTTTGCTGGAGAGACAGAAACAGAAAGTGAGAAATAACCCCCCTGGGGAGATGGTCATGCCACAATCCCTTTTCCATTCTCCTCTCATGATCTCAGGCATGCACGTACATGCACTTGATGTGAGATTTAAGCCATTAGGTCCAGAATGCAAACAGCAGTCGACTATGTGGGAGTTCCACAACGTACTCATTATGCTATCTACTGGTCCCTTTTTTCTTTTTTTTTTAAAGAGATTTTTGCTATAGGGCACATGTGCTCACCCTAGCGACAGAGAGAGACAGAGAGACAGAGCAAGAAATCACACACACACACACCCGCCCCCCCAGTAGGGATGGCCATGGCGCAGTCCCTTCTCCATTCTCCTCTTGGGATTTGGGGCTGGCATGAGTTTTAAGCCTCCCAGTCCAGGGTTCAAGCCACAGTGGACTACATGGGAGTCTAGTGACATAACCATTACGCCATCTGCTGCTTTCTCTCTGCTGCCATTTCTAGCTTCATTGTGCTCCACTTCCTGCCTTGTCTTCCATGTCATACAAACATGTTATGCCTTTTCTTTTTCTCTTTCAAGTAAGATTAATTTTATTTTATTTCGTGTTTGTTCTCTTTTTTTAACATTTAATCATTGTACATCTTTTTTTCTTTTTTTTGGAGAGGTTTTCGCTATAGGGCATGTGTGCTCACCAGACAGAGACATAGAGACAGAAAGTGAGAAATCACCCCCCAGGGGGGATGGTCATGCCGCAATCCCTTCTCCTCCATTCTCCTCTCGGGATCTTGGGCACGCACGCACACGTGCCTGGCATGAGTTTTAAGCCACCGGGTCCGGGACACGAACCGTGGTTGACTACGTGGGAGTCCAGCGACATAGCCATTACGCTAACTGCTGGTTCCCCAATCATTGTACATCTTTACAGAATACAAAATTAGTTTCCCAGCATGAATACATTAGTCCAAAGATATTACTATTCACATTATCCTCATGAGATAATCTATTTTTATGTCTGTTAAATGTTTTGCTTTTTCCCCCTTGATACCCTCCCTCCCCCATCTCCCCACATCAACCACCCTCCTCCTTCACTGTCTAGTATCCACAATTGCACTCCATGCTTTTATACCTTCTAACTTTTCAATTTCTGCATTGAGTGCAGACATTTGGTATATATTGAATGGGGACATACAATGCTTGTCTTTCATAGTCTGGCTTGCTTTACTCAGCAGTAAACCTTCCATATTTATTCACTTTATATCAAATGCCAGGGTCTCATTGTTTTATATGGCTGAGTAGTATTCCATACTTATGTTTTTACTTTTGTCCAGCACTTTGCATATGATTGCAGTTACCTCTGCCTAGAATGCCTAATTCCTTCTTTACACCAAGTAAGCATTTCCTTTTCCTTGAAGTCTGACTTACTTCGGCTCTCCCTCTAGTTGATTCTCTCTACTTAATTCCATCTCCTGGAGGTATATAATAGCACATTGAGCTCACTCCATATCATAATTGTCTATTTATTTCATATTTATCTTCTTTGACCTCACATGCTTTTCCCTTCAATGAAAGTGAAGTTCCTTTTCTTCTCTGACCCTATAAAACCCTATTCTTATCTCTATTTATATCACTTGTAACTATTTATTATAATTCTTAGTCTGTCTATTCAAGATAGAGTATAAGCACTTTGAAGGCAGAAGCTGTCACTTCCCTATCATCAGAGCCTGCACTCATCAGTCCTGAGTAAATGTGTTTAAATAAATGAAAAAAGAAATGAATGGATGAATGGATAACTGAAATATAAGAATTTCCTAAAAGCTGGGTACTTTAGAAAGTTTCAGTCCTTCACACAAAGAGGTAGCTCCAAGGAGGCACTGTCCAATAATATTTCCAGTAGATTTTAGCTCTTATTAATTTTAGAGAAGAGACTGGGAAGCTTTCCAGTTCCTGGGGTTTCATTACTACAAGCTGGGATAAAGCAATTATGACAGGGACTAGGACTGACATAGAGCCCTTTTCCTGATTTTCATCTGCTTCCTTTTAAATAAATCAGCTAATAAATAGAATGAAATTATTATGGTTCAACCAATATTCTCCTTCTCTTAGTTATCATTTTTCATTATCCTTTCCCATATCCTATTGTCATGGACGTGCATAAGGACAGATCTTGAGTTTGAGCAAGACTTCTCTTTTTGGTAACTGTCTTCTCCCTTCCTCTCACTGACTTTGAAAGGGTAAAGTGCCTACTTTGCTGATAAAAATGCTTAGGGTGTGAGCAGCCTTCGTCCTAAGGGAGGAAGGGAAAGTAGAAGGAGAGTCATTCATGAGACAGATGCTTAGCTCATTTATCTTTGCCTCTTCTTTCACCAGGGAAAAGTTGGCACTCAGAAACAAAGGACTCCTTGGAACAGGCTATGGATTCTGCATCTGCTCAGGCCTGGCCTAAAATGCACACAGTTAATGGCTATGTAAACAGATCTTTGCCAGGTATGTACATGCCAGCTCAGCAATCCTCAGGGTTTGCTGAATTCAACACAAGAGTTTTCTTCTCCAGTTCTCAGACAGCTCTATGCTCTGGAGAAAACCCTACTGAATTCTAGGGTTTGGGCAGGGTTGGTGGCGGAGTGGGTTGGTAGTGGTCTTAAAGTATACTGCCTTTTTGTCACCTGAAAATGAGGGCAAGCCTATGTACACAGAGCTCACAATCAGATTTTTCTTTCCTCTCACTTAAATGTGAGTAGGCAATTATGGATGAACAGACATGTAAGGAGAGCCTTAAGTATGAAAATAATGAGTAGGGCCAGCAGGTGGCATGGTGGTTAAGGGCACTGGACTCCCACATGGCTGACCACAGTTCGAGTCCCAGACCTGGAGACTTGATTTCTCACTTTCCCACTCTCTCTCCCTCTCACTCTGTCCCTCTCTGTTCAAATTAAAATAAATAAATAAAGTTAAAGAAAATATTTTTTAGAAAGGAAGTAGTGAGCAAAGATAAAGAAAATAATAAAATAATGATCTCAGAGAAACACAAAATAAAGCTCAGAATAGAACTTGTCAAAAGCTCTAATTATTATTTTCATACAGATTCAAGAAGATACTACATCAGTAAACTAACAATAGCATTTTATGAAAAAAATCAGAACAAGCAAATGTTTATAGAAATTAGAATGGTTGTAAATATATGAACTCAATAGAAGGTTAGGTAGATTAGAGAAAATCTCATATAAAGTAAAACAAAAAGAAAATGGATTGAGAATATATTTTAAAACAAATTTAAGAATGAAAGAAATTATTGAAAATGTTACAGGTTAAAATATATGAGCCTTTATATTAAAATTGCCCATCAAGGTGCTAGCAGGTGGTGTGGTAGTTAAGGTGCTGGATTACCACATGGCCAAGCACAGCTTGAGTTCTAGACCTGGTGGCTTGAATATCACACCAGGTATGTGTGCATGTGTGCCCAAAATCCCAAGAGGAGAATGGAGAAGAGATTGTGGCATGGCCATACCCCTGAGGGTGATTTCTCACTTCCCCTCTCTCTGGCAAGCTCACATGCCAAAACAAAATCATATAAAAAAATCATAATAAAAAAATTGCCCATCAAAATCAGAGAAATGATTATTGCAGCATTTCAGAGCACAAAGAGAAGATATTTAAAGTTCCTCATGTGATAAATCACATAAGTATTGGGAATTAGACTGACTCTATAATGGAATGATATTCTTTTTTTTCTTCTTTTAGTGTTTTTTGCTATAGGGCACATGCACTTGCTGGAAAGACAGACAGAGACAGAGAGACAAAAAGTGAGAAATCACCCTCCCCCAGGGAGAATGGCCATGCAACAATCCCTTCTCCTCCATTCTCCTCTCGGGATCTTGGGCACATATGCACACGCGCCCAGCGTGAGTGTAAGCCACTGGGTCTGGGACACAAATTGTGGCCGACTATGTGGGAGTCCAGCAATGTAACCATTATACCATCTGCTGGTCCCATGGAGTGATATCTTAAAAGTTCTAAGGAAAACTTATTTTTAACCTAGAATAAATATCCAAGCTATGAATCAGCTTTAGGGGAAGAATAAAGACATTTTCAGAAATGGAAGGCCTTAGAAGCCACAGCTAAAGTAAAGAATAAATGAAAGAGGAATTCAATTAAACAACCCAGGAGAATAATGAAGAATGAGACAGGATATGTTCTTTTTAATTCTTTTTTGTATTTTTAAAAATAATTTCATAATGAATATATATAATTTTAGAATTAGAAATTAATTTTTAGAGGTTTATGCTATAGGGTGCATGTGCTCACCAGGAAAACAGAGAGAGACAGAGAGACAGAAAGTGACAAGTCACCCTCCAGGGGGGATGGCCACGCCGTAACCCCTTCTCCTCCATTCTCCTCTTGGGATCTTGGGCATGAGTTTAAAGAAGGAATGAATGGCCAACAGGTACAGATGAAGACTAAAAAATTTCTATTGAGTTTAGCAGCATGATGGTCAATGGTGTCCTTGGTAAGAGCTGTTGACTCTCTAGTACCTCAGTGTCCTTGGTAAATTTGTTACAAGTCAAGGTAACAATAACATTTGTAAAATCATTTGTCCATCCTGTTCTGGCAAGTGTTTTTCATTTCAAATTTTCTACTTCTTAGCCATAGCTACCTTATTATTCTTACTTGACAGGTCTGATTGGATGCCACAGGAAATCAGTCTATTGGCATGTGATTGGAATGGGCACAACCCCTGAAGTACACTCAATATTCCTTGAAGGTCACACATTTCTTGTGAGAAACCATCGCCAGGCTTCCTTGGAAATCTCACCATTCACTTTCATTACTGCTCAGACACTTTTGATGGACCTTGGGCAATTTCGACTGTTTTGTCGTATTTCTTCCCACCAACATGGTAATATCTTGGATCTTAAATATGAGTGTTATGAATATCTGTTTCTATTTTATTCTTTTTCATTTGTGAAGAGGATAGATTTTTTAGTTTTATTTTTCATAGAGATAAAGTGTGTGTGTGGTGGAGGGGAGGGACAGAGACAGAGACAGCAAGATAAAAGAACACCCTTAACATGGTCTCATCACATAGCCCTCCAGCTTATCAGGACCTTTGGCACATGAGCACATGTCCACATGTTTTCAGGTACCCAAGGATCTGAACCCACTGTCAGCCATGTGACTTGCAGTACTATAGTTCAATTTGCTACCCACTGCACCACTGGGCCAGGAACAGTTCTACTTTTAATGGAATTTACTAGACAATGTACAGGAATAGGGGATGATGCTATGTGATGAAACCATGTTGTGGGCGCTGGGTTTCCACATGGCCACAGTTCAAGTCCCAGACCTGGTGTCTTGCTTTCTCATCTTCCCCTCCCCACCACACACACACACACACACACACACACACACACACACTATATCTCTCTCTGGTCAAATTAAAATAAATAAAATAATTCTTTTAAAAATATTAAATGCCTGTGATATAGTAAGAAGAGGTGGTTTAGGATGAGTAAGTTGAGGAAAATGAGGATTATGTCACTGGTTTCCCAGCCTAATTCCATTAACTGGCTTTAATTGGGATACTTTGTCTATTTTTACTGGTACTGACGCAGGAAGGCAGGAGGGCAGGAGTGATCGGGCCCACTCTCACAGTGAGACACAGGTTCTTGTCCCACGCCCAGGAAGAATTATAGTCATGGACACAGAGAGAAGGTATAGCAAAGCGGGGAGTTTATTAACAAAGTGGGGAGTTTATTAACAAAGGAGAGAGAAGGTAAAAAAAAGAGCTCTCAAGAAGGGGGGGGGGTCCCAGAAAATGGGCTGCCAAGGAAGAACTGTGGCAAGGGGTTTTTATTTGCAAAGGCCAGGAAGGGCTTTGTCCAGACTTCTGCATGCATTCCCCTGCTGGTAGTCCAATATCAAGATTCCAGCATCCAGTGAAGGCCTTTCTGTCATCATATCACAGAAGGCATTACACAAGAAAGAGAGCAAGAAAGGGCGAGTTCACTCCTGAGATAATGAACCCACTCCCACAAAATCATTTCCATGATAATGGGATGAGTCCATTATCACCTAAACACTTCTTAAAAGGTACCCCCTCCCAATATTGTCACAAAGACAATTAAGTTTCAACATGAATTTTAGAGAGGATAAACATTTAAACAATAGCAAGAGCTATTAGAGAAAAATATTAGGGAGATCTTAATCTTTCATGTTTAACAGCACTTGCTTGCTTGTATTAACCTTATCTTCAGTTTCCTTGTTTGCCATAAGAAGGAGATTTGATCTGTCTACAGAAATAACCAACTCTGCAAAGATAATAATTAATATGGTTTATTTCTAAGCATGAATATGAGTGACCTATGCCCAGAGAGGAGGCAAAACATGCCTTTCTCTTGGGATGACTAGGTACAGGGTTTAATTTCATTTGATTTTGAGAGTGTAAGATAAAGTTTGGAATTTAGTGAAGAGCTTTTCCATTTGAGCTCAAAAGGTGGGACATGTGGAGGGGGGCTTGTAGGTTATAGGTGGATTTTACAGTTTTTAGGTTGGTGATTAGAAAAGGAAGTTTTCTGAGATCAGAAAAGAATGTGCTTTAACAGAGATAAAGGGGGTTAATATACATCCCAAAGATACTATGCCAGGGACAGGATGTAGGAAGAATCTGTTATAAATGGGTCAAAATGATCTGTTAGTGTTTGTGGAAGTGACTCCCTCTAGGCCTCTGGAAAGGATTTTGGAAATAAGAAAAAGTAGTCAGACTTCTATCCTCAAATTTTATCATTTGTCCACTATTTCCCCTTATGCTGTATGAGTGACCTTGTTTATTGTCCTCCATAGTGATTTAGAATACAAAGTCTTGGTACCAGCAAGTGGCATAGTGGTTAAGGTGTTGGACAAAACACTTCATTTTTAGATCTAGACTGTTATACTGTTATCCATATTTCATAACACATAAAGATAAGGCTGGGAATGTTTACTAGACTCATCATAGGGTTTGCAACTAGTTAAGGCAGACATTCTCTTTTTTTTTTCATTTACATTTAAAATTTTAAAAATTGAACTGTAATTTATTTATTTTAATTGGACCAAAGGGTGGAGGAGGAGAGAGAAAGCCACCAGGTCCAAGACTTAAACCATGGTTAGCCATGTGGGAGTCCAGTGCCCTAACCACCATGCCACCTGCTGGCCCCTAGGCAGACTTGCTTTTTTTTTTTTTTTTAGGGGATTTTGGATAGGGACTTTTGTGCTCGCCAGAGAGACAGAGAGAGACAGATAGCAAGAAATCACCCCTTGGGGGGATGGCCATGCAGCAATCCCTTCTCCTCCATTCTCCTCTGGGAATTTTGGGCACACATGCACATGTGCCTGGTGTTAGTTTAAGCCACCAGGTCCAGGACTCAAACCACAGTCAACTACATGGCAGTCCAGTGACATAGCTATTATACCAACTGCTAGTCCCCAGACATGCTCTTAACATGCACATTTCCTTGATTTTTAGTCATGTCTCCTCATTTTTTAAAGTTCTGTTATAGGGCACATTTGTTTGTGAGAGAGAGAGAGAAAAATTGAGAAATCACCCTTTAGAGGAGATGACGACAATTACTTCTCTATTTATCTTCTCAGGATTTGGGGCACACATGCACATATGCCTGGTATGTTTTCAAGCTATCAGGTCTGAGACTCAAACGCATAGTTGGCTATGTAGAATCCAGCTGCCTTAACCTCCATGGCACCTACTCACCCCTTTTTGTGTTTTCGTGAACTTGGAATGTGTCTTAAAATTCATATCTATGGCACCAGCAGTTAGCATAATAGCTATGTGGCTGGACTCCCATGTAGTCGACTGTGGTTCATGGACCCGGTGACTTAAAACTCACACCAGGTGCGTGTGCATTGTGTGCCCAAGATCTCGAGAGGAGAATGGAGGAAAAGGGATTGTGGCATGGCCATCCCCCCTCAGGGTGATTTTTCGCTTTTAGTCTCTCTGTCTCTATCTGGCGAGTGCACACACCCTATAGTGAAAACCTCTCCAAAAAAAAAAAAATTCATATCTATGAAACCCACCTCCTAGACTCCCAAAATATTCAGACAAGAAGCCATTTTAAAGCTGAGGTGTGTCCTGGTGTGTTCAGGAAAGCTATGCTCTAAACCTACCTCCTAGACTCCCAAAATATTGAGACAAGCACTGTGGAGGAGAGATTTTGTCACAGAATGACCAGAAACAACCGCAGAGGTACAAGAAACATGAGAAACCAAGAAAATGTCTCTCCCGTAAGGGAAAAGAACAATCCCTCATCATCTACAAACAGTGTAGTAGAATTCTTGAAATGTCTGATAAAGACTTCAGAATACACATATTGACAAAACTAAATGAGATGCAAGAGCTGAGAGAGAATGAACTCCAGAAGATGCAGGAGAAAAGAGACAATGAGTTCCAGGAAGTGTTGAAGTTCTTTCATGATCTGAAAGAGGAAGTACACACCATGAAAAATAATCAAATGGAGCTACTAGAGATGAAGGCTGCCCTTCAGGAAATCAAAACATCCCTCAAAAGTATTAAAAGCAGATTAGTCCATGCAGAAAATCAAATCTCATATGTTGAAGGTAAAACCTCTGATCTAGAAAAAACAACCAAAAAAATCTGAGAAAATAACACCCCCCCCAAAAAAATGAGAATACTATACGAGAAATACTAGACAGCGTTAAGCGCCGAAACATTTGGATGATTGGTATCCCAGAAGGTGAGGAAATAATAAAGGCATTGATAATTTAGTCCATGAAATTTTGGAAGAAAACTTTCCAAATCTAAAGAGGCATTCAAATATCCAGATCTGAGATATACAAAGGACCCCTAATAGAATCAACCCAAGAAGATCTTCTCCAAGGTATATCTTAGCCAGACTGGTCAAATCTACAGACAAAGACAAGATACTAAAATTGGCAAGAGACAAATTTCAGGTTACTTATAAAGATTATCCTATCAGGCTAACCTCAGACCTCTCATCAGAAACAATGCGAGTGGGAACCAGCAGTTAGCATAATGGCTATGTCGCTGGACTCCCACGTAGTCGACCGCGGTTCGTGTCCTGGACCCGGTGGCTTCAA